TGCTCCCATGCTATTTATAGCTCTAATAATGTGGAACCTAGGCTCAGTAACAGATTCCTATTTTTCCGCTATTTTTCGGATTTTTCCGGGCCCTGCAGCTGCAGAATTAGAGGATCTGCTATTAATAGCCCCCTGGACCTTTCCCTGGGGATACAGATCCATCCCCGATCCCAGTCATCAAGCCGGTGATAAGCCTCAGGATCGTCTGACCCCCGAAAACGCGGATTCAGCACATCATACAAGCGCCCCGGAGCTTATTCGACATAGCGCTCGCACGCCTCTAGGCTTCTATGGGCTCTAAAAGACTTTTTCTATTTAGCTCCGGACTTCCCAACATCCTCGAGGCGTACTCGGACCCATTCCGCGATTTATCTCCGCGCACCGAAGCTCCGGAGTGACTTAACCAATGCGACTTCTAGCTGCATTAGCTCCGGGACCCGCGGACACTTCTATCGAGGGGCGTCTTCCTCATGCCCACCCTCCAGCACTCACTCCCCCTCGTTTCCGTCAAGATACCGAAGGTGTGGACGCATACGAGTCACCATAAGGTCAGCATCAGTCAGCAAACGGCCGGAGGTAATTAACACGTGACCGGCGTGTTGCACGGAGTGATGGGACCGCTTGCGTCAGGTGGCGGAGCATTGAGGCGACCTATAGGGGCTGGAAAGAGCAAGTGGGAGCGCAAGAGAGTCGTATGGTGTATGGTATAGCGGAGGACAGTGCTGAGCAATCCTGTGGGTAGCGGCGTTTATTTGTTATTTATCTCCGAACGGTCGCAAAGCCATTCCTGTAGTATAAATTGTACAAAGTAGCATACAGAAAAACAAGTTTTCGACTTCACCATCTCACAGAATTAACGTTACGATCTCAGCGACCCGAGAAGTTCGAAAGCGTCGAACTTAGCGACTTATAACCGATCCTAGCTTTGCCAATAGGCCTGACTCATCGAGTGAATTATCTCCACCATCGATTCAATTAGCTCCGGTGAGTCTCACATAGCGGAATAAAATTAAACAAGTCCTTTTAGCATTTTCTACTCCCATGGGCCCGAACCTATACTCGGTTCCGCGGTTTGCGACTTTGTTTGCGACTTTCCGGAGATAAATACTCCGGAGCGTCCACTAGTGTTTGTTTCAGGCGTCAAGGTTTTTGTTTTATTTTTCTAGGTCTTCCTACGGACTACCCTACGGCGTCTTACTCCTCCTTTCCCCCTCGAACTATTAAATACCCTTCAGTTGTCTCGGACCGCCTTCACCCATATCACGGGGTTTAGGTTTATTCCTTTTGGTCCTTGGTGATTGTTGTGTGTCAGTGCATATCACCGGGATGCTGGGGCAGCCAGGTTCAAACCCAGCTGGCACCTCTCGGGCCTGCAGAGCATAATGCATCACACCCTCATCACAATGCCTGGGTAATGTAATATGTTTTGTCATTGCAATGCATCTATAATGCATTATCACTACAGTAAGAGGTGCTGTAGTGGCCTGCGCTCTGCTCATTTTCATATCCCCTTTGGCAAGGTCGAGTGCGAGGCTGGTGCCAACATTGCCGTGACAGGGCGCCTGATGTTATGTCCTGTCGATGGCCTTCACTTACACCTTACCATCAACCGCTCCATTCCGGCTCACACTCCTCTCTTTGCTTTCAGGTCCCGAGGCGGCGGCTGGCTCCCAATGGTCAAGTTGAGCTTCCTTTGCTGCTGCAAGGAAATCTGGGACCCACTCAAGCTTGCACACGTCGCAGGTCATAGCTTTCATATTGGTGGGGCGACTGAGCTCCTCCTCGCCGGTGTTCCTCCCAAAGCTGTTGCTACGCAAGGCCGATGGAAATCCCTCACATGCCTGCTGTACTGGCTGAAGCTAGAGGAGATGCTCCCAATGATGGTCTCAAAGTCGTATGACAGGACTCGCATTGCAAATCTGTGCGCCGAGTTCGAACAATATCACGTCCGCAACAACATCCCAGTCTCTGTGGCCTCGGTCCCTCCTCCATCCAGATCTTAGCGGTATTCATCATGTTGTAGTAGCTGTACACCTCTTATCTATGCCTGTTGTACCCATCTCTGATGTTGTATTCTATCCCATCCTGTCTGCAGCTTGTGTCTTAGTTATAGTAACATATTGTCTTTGTGATGTCTTCTGTCTGAGCCTATGTCTCAGGTGGGGGACCATCTCCAAAATCCGGCTGTTTGTGAGCCATTGGCTCGGAATTGGTGTAGCCTGGATTTTGTCGCGTCGTGAAGACGGCGCGCATTGTGGCTTCGCCATTCCAACCCCAAGTCTCGGGTCTGGCTTCCGGCCACTTTCCGGTGCCACATCCTCAGCCACCACGGACTTTGCCACGGCCAGCCTGATGCCGTCCCAAGCCTCCCCCCAACCCACAGTAATCGCACTGAGCATTGCTCGAAGTTGATTCCCAGCCTTTCTTTCCTATTCTACTTATCTAGTCTCATTACAGTTGAAGCCCCTTAGCTTGGACAGTCATCCATGGTGCGGGACACCTAGTCACCACCACTTTTGGACAGCTGCAAAATCCATCTGGGTACAAATATTATTCATATTTTCAGTATTGTTTTGCTATATATTGTCTAGCGTTGTAGCATAGTGAAACAAGGAGCAACGGCAGGGCCAAACTTGGCTCCCAGTAATATATTTCAATTTACCCGACAATTTTGAGCTGGAGCTTCACACTGGCCTGACTATGCCACCTCGCAGGAAAGCGCAGAAGGATGGAGCTGCTCATGCTGGTGCAGCTCAGAAATGGCGGCCACGCCCTGATGTCTCAGTAATCAACTTAGATTCTGCCTCAGAAAGTGATTCTGAAGTTTGTCACTGGGATGGGCCATGGTGCAGGTCAAATTGGAGACAATATGGCACTGGGAACATCGCATGATCCGTTGGATGGACACTTACCGTGAAGGGCTGGAGATGCCCAGCTGAAGGTGTGGCAATTCAGTTCCAAGCAATACACATCACACAGGCGTGTTCCGGAAGCTTTGGCTCATCAGTTTGATTCATAGATACTAAATTAGGCAGCTATATTACCCAATATAGTGATTACATAATTGATATTATGTCACCTGGCAAAATTGGAGGCATCCAAATTTATAACTCAATTCAGTTTTGAAGCTATTGAAAATCCCTCTTGGGGAATTGATCCTTATCAAAAATAGAGTGTTTTCCCAAGACAGCTAAGGAAAAGGTCAAAATCTGTGGGTGCCATAAATGTTGTTCAGAAGTGGTGGTGACTAGGTGTCCCGCACCATACAGTGCCAGCCATTGTCAACCCACTGTAATACAGAACTGTATATCAAAGTCAGCCAGCAGCCAGTCCTTGTAGTTACAGCTAATCAACAGTTGCTGGCCTAATGCACATGACCCTCACAGCATATTCCCTGGCTACTGTACTACAAATGGGGAGCCACGACTGGCTGCAACAACATATTTCTGTGGTTAAGAGCAGATACTGGGATCTCTGGGTGAATTTGTTGCTTGCAAAAAGAAATTGGGGAGGCCTACTGTTTGAATGGTGCCCAAATGAACATTGCTCACACCAACCTGGGTGCAGATACAGGAGGAATGATTGTAGCAGCTGTGGATCCAAACAACTGTAAGTGATTGTGGGGCACTTATTGTCAGAGGAAAGTATGTGTTAGGGGAAGAAGTGGGTGAAGATAGGAGTCATGGAAGGGGAGTGAAAATTTTGCATACAAATGGAGTGGCTGAGTCAGATGGGTGGTTGTTTAGAGACCTGACAAAACCGATAAGGCAGGTGAGGATGAGGAGGGTGCTGTGGTGGTCCTGCAGATATTCACTCACTTGGAAATTGGTGGACCAGTGGACCATAGATTAGATCAGGTTGAAAGCCAGCAGAAACCAATCAGTGGCCGTGGGATCAAATGAAGCATCACATACAGCAAGTGTGATTGGTCGAGGTGATGCAGATGGGTGTATGGATGTGTTTTTGTAGGAGCACTAGATTGCATGCTTGCACACACATGGAAACAAGTGCAAACAGGTGAGTGTGGATGCAATCTTTAAATAATGTGTGTAACTACATGTGCATGATGGAATAAAGGAATCCTAGTTTCTTTGTCTGATACCATCCATTATACTGAGGAGACACTGCTTGAACCTTGGCCTGGCCCTCTGGTGAACCTGGGCCTTTGGGGAGGATGTACATTTAATGGGGCATGCAGATGTCATATGGTGCACACCACTTAGCCACCACTGCCAAATTGGCTGGAGGCTGAAATGGTTCATGAAATGTAAGTATAGCCATAGGATTGTGGGTTTTAACTGCCTATATGTCCCTGAGAAATGCTACAAGATTGTTTTGTTTCTGTAGGAATGGCTGGACAGGCTAATTGATAACTATTTTGAGCAATACAGGGGTCACCACCTCTCCCATATATGACTTGCACTATAGGCCTACACACAGAATCTGTGTCATTCTGGCCTACGAGAGGAATGACCCATATAAATGATGAGGGTACAATAGGGGCTGAATATATGTGGGACAGTGGGAAGGTCCACATGGCAAGGTCTATCAGGATGAATCTTATTGGATGCTTTCAGTAGCCACAATAACCAGATAGATACAAACAGTTTTGCATTTTTGGTAATTGTTTTACTGGATGGACCTCTTCCTTAGTCTGTTGCTCTATACTAGCCTCCAATTTGTGTCTGTGTCTGTGTCTGTGTCTGTGTCTGTGTCTGTGTCTCCAGGCATCTCTGGTGTCCTTCTGGTCTATCCCTGCAGCATCTGATAGTCTGGGAGCATCACACTAGCACAAACTCAACATATCATCCTACCATTCTCCACTCAGATGAAAGCACATCACTGTAGTCTCTGATTTCCTCCTCTGGAATCACATCCGGATCTGATTCACCTTCCACTACACCTCCGAAGGAGACAGAAGTCGCAACAGGACGGAGGAGAGGCTGAATAGTAAGCTTATCTCCTTCAAAGCACACTAGGCGAGCCACATTGAGAAGCATCTCCGGTGTGAGAGTCGCGGGATTGATATCGAGAGCCTGGAAAAGATGATGCCAGTAAGACTCTGCAACTCAGTACTAATGCAAGGCCTACCTTCCAGCCGAGCAAAAGTCCGGGACGTAACTGACTCTTGTCAGTCACACGGGTTAGTGTATCCCATCTCCTCTCAATATCCTCCCACTGCACCCCCGCCACGTCCTGCCGCGGACGCTGATCTGCTACATTTTCCTCCACGTCTGCCTGCTGTCTCTCTGAATCCCCGTAATCGAGCCAGTCGGTAGTCTCCTCGACCCATTCGTCCGCATCCGCCTGCTTCTTTTTCTTGCTCTTCCCCCGCTTTTTCCCGTTCCACAGACCCTCCTCGACATCAACGCTGGTCACGAATATGTTAGGCGGGAGCTCGCCGCGCTCTTGTCGCTCCGAGGGCGGGATCAGGCGAGGTGCTGGTCGACTAGGGTGTTGGTCATCCGGGGCGTGGGCTTCCGGCCCAGAGGGGGAGGTTGAGGGACCTGCGACAGGTGCCGAACCTGCGCGGTTCGCATCAGCGGCAAAGACGATCTTTTGCGGTATCTCATCGTGAAGGTGCGACTTGAAGCCCTTCCGTTTATTTTTGTTGCTCAGAGACAGCGCCATCAGATTCGCTCTCTCCACCGGGGTGGAAATATCTGATCCCCTATCATCCGCGGCGTGCTGACGTCCGTTGACGGGCGGTGGGAATGCAGGTCCTACCGGGACAGCGTTGGGTCCTGAGAGGGAGGATGATGCCGGGGGCAAGGACTGAGAAGCACGCTCGTACTGCTTTCTGCGTCGCCGGCGGAGGTTGCGGTTTTTCGTCTGCGGCTTGCCGTGGCCGGGAGGGACTGGCGGTTGGGACGTGCTAAAGTAGTCTATCAATTTCAGTTAAATTTGCAGCAAGCAACGCAGATGTACCTCGTCTTCACGCCATTAGGCTTGGGTGCCCTAGCAGAGCTAGCTCCGTTAGTGCTGGGACGAGTAGCCTCGTCCTCCGAAGGTGACGAGTCCGTGTCTGTATCGGAATCTGTCGTATCTGAGTCAGAGTCATCATCAGAATCAGACGATGAAGACGAGGTCGCGGCGCTATCAGAGTCCGAGTTGGAGGAATCCTCAGAATCGGATGTCGAGCTGGTGGGAGGACTGGCTGGCTTAGGTAGCCGGGATGCGGCTACGCGAGACGAATACGAACGCTTGGGTTTAGGTTCCGCGGAAACCGGAGGGGCCGTCTTCTCTTCGGTCGATTCGTACTTTCGTTTCTTTCGAGAAGAATCCTCTATGTCATTCGTCAGGACTCAATACCTGGCTCGAAATCGTTCATAGAATTACCTGCATCCACGGCCTTACGTTTCACGACGTTGGCAGCAACCTTTGCAGGCCGATATTGCAACCTGCGGCCGTTGAATACACAAAACGAACAGAGAGCGTCCGACGTACAGAAGTAAGTCTCCGTCCCTGAGCACATTGATCGGGCTATCATCCAGCACCTCGAACTCGTCCAAGAGCAGAATGATGCTGTCGGGCGCGACATCTTCCAAGACCTCCAGATTCGAGCATAGACTCTTCTTGAGATCTCTAACGGTGGCGACGTGGGATGGCACACTGAACCAGGCCTTCAACGGAGGATCTGTCGAGCCCAGTCGTATGCGGGTAAGAGACATCGAGCAACACGGTCACCAAACAAACACGACCCAAAATATAATCGCGAATAATAATGCGACGCGTCGTCTAACCCTAACCCTACGATTTGCCACCTCACGCGTTCCTTACGTAAGGCTAATTGCTGTCATGTCTGCACCCAAGCCCACTTCACTGCTGTAACTCTCCTTCCTCCCCCGCCGCCGTCCGCGATGGCGAGCTACCACTACGATGAGGCCGGCACAATGGCCTTGTACTTTATTATCACTTTTCTATTTCTCGTGCTCGTTCCTTTGACTCTGTCTCTCTCAAGACCGGCCACGCAGTCCAAGATGGACATGAATGCGTGTCAATGCCAGGAATGCATCGACCAACGCGCACATATTCGGAAACAGGAAAGGGGGCCACTATTTCTGCCAAAGCTGGGGAGAAAGTGCGTAATGGAGCCCACCCTCCTCTGTTTATGTCGAATTCACGAGAGTATGACCAGAACTATGTTCGTCATAGGGGGATGGGCCCTCTTCGCGTTCCTGTCTTACAAGGTCTCCAACATCAAATCAGATGAGAAAGTATATGATCCCTTCGAAATTCTCGAAATCTCTCGGGTGAGTCTTAGCAAGCTTCGTGTGGACGGCGGCTCACTCTGTCCGTCGTGCAGAGTGCTACCGAGAAGGAGATCAAGTCACGGTACAAGAAGCTCTCCAAGCTCTTGTACGCTCACATGACTCCTTATATGCTGCACGTTCTCATTCCTAACCCTCAGTCATCCGGACAAGGTCAAGTTGGCTGTGAACCAGACCATGGAGCAAGTCGAAGCGCGCTTCGTTGAGCTGACCAAGGCGTACAAAGCGTGAGCACTACCGTCTTCGCGTACCGTCGGCCTACTTTAATTACCCTTTCCCTCAGCCTCACAGACGAGACTATCCGCAAGAACTGGGAGTTATACGGCCACCCAGACGGCCGCCAGGAAGTGTCTATGGGCATAGCTCTCCCTAAGTGGATCATCGAAGGGAGGAATAACATTTGGGTGCTGGGTGCATATGGATTGGTGTTCGGAGGGGCCCTTCCAGCAGTAGTGGTGCGTTTATCTTAGCTGTATACCGGTGTCCTTTGCCCAACTCGACTCTTAGGGTCAATGGTGGTTCGGCAGCCGGAAGAAGACCAAGGATGGCGTAGAAGCCGATACGGCCGCGACATTCTTCAAGACTGTGAAAGAGGAAGCAGGCGTGGACGAAGTGCTGGCGACTGTCAGCAAGGTCATCCAGCCCCCGAAACAGAGCAAGGCCTCGCAGGATGCGGACGAAGCGAAGAAGCTTGAAGGTGTCGTGCGCGAGAGACTGGGAAAATCGGAGTCGAGCATCCTTGCTCAGTTCCCGCAGGACGAAAACCGTAAACGTGCGTTGGTCCTGCTGTATGCTCATCTCCTGCGGTTCCCAGTGGAGAGTGCCTCCTTAAAGAAAGGTCGGGCTTATTTCTCAGGACTGATGGTTGATTACTTACGACCGCTCTCTACAGAGCAAGCGGACCTCCTCCTAAACACCCCCGCCCTCCTCAATGCCATGCTCAACATCATCACCGTTCGTAATTGGCTCACACCCACGCTCGCCGCCATGCGTCTCCATGCCTGCGTCACCCAGGCCATCCCGCCGGGTCAGCCAAAGCTGAAATTCGCTCAGCTGCCGGGTATCGGCGAGGAGGAAGCACTGCAACTCCCGAATGAGGTCGAGACGCTCGACGATTTCGTCGGTTACCTTGCGGAGAAGGGGGACGGGCGGGTGGACCAGGTCAAGAAGGCTGTTGCCCGGCTTCCGAGACTGGAGGTCGAGGATATCACCTTTAAAGGTGTGTGGCTTTCTCATCTTATGCCATGTTGTATGCTCAATGCCGCCACCTGTAGTCATCGGTGAACGGATTGTTACACCCTTGTCCATCGTCCACCTACTCCTCAAGCTTCGCCTATCTTCCGCTCGGTCAGGATCAACGTCGGAGAAGCCCGAGTCACGCAACACTGAGAACGACGAGCGGAAAGATGAGGAGTTCCTGAACAGCCGGAAAGACGCAGAGGACATCGACGACATGGACCCTACCAGCGGATGGGCACACGCACCGCACTGGCCAGGAGTACGTTGTTTCTACCTCTATAGTAACCCGTCCTGAGCTCTCATCCAGATCCGAAAACCCGGCTGGTGGGTCGTGCTAGCGGACGACAAGATGAGCCGCCTTGTCCAGCCACCGATGAAGATCACCGATGTGCCATTCTCCGACCCACGCAAAGAGAGGAACTATCGTTCGTACCGAATGCAGTTCCAAGCTCCACAAGGCGTTGGTGTGTACACGTGGAAGGTGTACCTCGTCAGCGATACCTTTGTCGGGGAGGAAGTCGTCCGGGATGTCATGGTAAGCGGAATCGCGCTGCATCCCGTATGCCTGTCATTAACGAACGGCATCGTTGAATTAGCTCAAAGTCGACGACGTCTCTGCGCTGAACACCGATGAGCAGGGTTACGAAGATGAGATATCGGATCCCGAGGAGGATTCCCTAGCGGGCCAGATGGCTGCCATGCGTGGGCACTCCGTGAAGAAGCGGACAGAGGATGACGAGAGCGATGAGGAGAGCTCGACAGACGACGACGACGAAAAGAACGATGATGATAGCAGTAGTGATAGTGACTGATTGGTTTGCACTCACGGCGGGCAAAGCAGGTGTCCTTTTTCCGGACGGCAGGAAAAAGGACACTATGTCCTTTCACGGCGACCATCAGTGGGTCAGGAAGTAAATCTGTCACGATTGCATCATGGTCGTGACAATGGGTCACGCAGTCTGCATTTATAATATGAAAAACCCTCGGACGCTCAGTTTTACAAAGCGAAGCATGCCATATGACCCGATAGGTGACTTTCCGTCCATATTCGGACCTTAGGCTCCCATCCGAGCCGTAACATCACACTTCGGCAGCTACCGTCTCGGACCTCCAGCAGCGTCTACTTAGGTGGCACTGGGCAGAGTACCGTACTTGCATGGTTTTTGTATCCATCAGCAAGCAAGGTGGAATGTACTCTCATATCTCCATGCTCAACACTGTAGAGCCTGCCAGAGTTGAAGTTTGTGAATATCAGATGAGATTTGAGACCTGGTAGCTACGAAGTTGCTTG